AACCATGTAATAAACGGCTTAATCACTATGTTGCTGCGGCCCATAACGTTACGATGGTCCGCGAAGAAGACAAAGTGAAGTGGTGATGACAACGCTCAGATCGATTGCCACATTGGTCGTCTGCAGTCATGAAGGTTCTCTTAGTACAATCCTCATTTTCTGTTTCAGAAAGAGTATTCTTAATAATTAACTCCTCTTTCAACGACTCGCAAGACCATGCTCCCGTAGATTATGTTCAGGCTTGTGTTATGCTTCAGTACAATAAACACTGATAAGCGTATTACTCTGTTTCCTTGCTTTGGCTTAAGAAGCTCCATCGATTGAAAAATAATGAGCAGTATACGTATGATGCACGATCCTTCGCAGTAGATAGCGCTATTTATGCAATAGCGAAAATCAGACCTGAAAAAAATCAGGCCTGTACAAAATATATGGACTTCATATATTCATTGTATCTGATTTATCATCACGGGTTTATTACGAATCAAGTTAACGGCCTGCTCCCAGTTGGCTTGTTAGCTCAATTGGTAGAGCGCTGCACTAGTATCGCAAAGGCCAGTGGTTCGAATCCCGTACAGGCCTGATTTTTTTCAGGTCTGATTTTCGCTATTGCATAAATAGCGCTATCTACTGCGAAGGATCGTGCATCATACGTATACTGCTCATTATTTTTCAATCGATGGAGCTTCTTAAGCCAAAGCAAGGAAACAGAGTAATACGCTTATCAGTGTTTATTGTACTGAAGCATAACACAAGCCTGAACATAATCTACGGGAGCATGGTCTTGCGAGTCGTTGAAAGAGGAGTTAATTATTAAGAATACTCTTTCTGAAACAGAAAATGAGGATTGTACTAAGAGAACCTTCATGACTGCAGACGACCAATGTGGCAATCGATCTGAGCGTTGTCATCACCACTTCACTTTGTCTTCTTCGCGGACCATCGTAACGTTATGGGCCGCAGCAACATAGTGATTAAGCCGTTTATTACATGGTTACTGTCCACAAACCGTATCAAGAAATGGTCCATTGTTCCTGCTCAACTTTTGCATTAAGCATCGAACAAAAGTCCTGAGTAATTGGTAGTCCTGAGGAGCTTTGGCCGAAGGGAGGCGGAAAAGCTAGCAAAAGATCGAGAAAATCATCGGAGTGACAATTTTGCTGCATTGGGAGAGTGGTTAGCTCTTCGTCAAAATGTTTTATGAGATCCTAACAGAGGCACTTGGCTACATCAATTTTCACCGGGTAATCTTTTACAATTTCCCTGATTATTATTTCCAGGAAAACAGCGCGATCTTTTTTTCCAAAATGACGTTTTTGTCAAACTTAAATTTCTAGCATCACATGAATAAATAATGATGAAATAACGGGAAATTTCTCCCTTTATCTTATGAAAGTAACAACTTGAAACATCTGTCAAAATTACTTTTTTTCTCTGATTCGAGGGAAACTGTGTTGTTTTAAAGATATCAATATGTCGCACTGGGTGATGTGATGGTAGCCAAGTGAATTTGTTCAAATAATTACCTCTACACTACAGCTTTCAGGAGGAAGTACTAATTCCCTTCCGTTAAGAAGGCAAATTTTGCGAAAA